ATTTTTCACATATTGGCATTTTCAAGGTGTGACTTTGAAGTTCCACGGGCTTGAAGACCCATGCTAGTCACATTTTCTGAAAATCCATGATACGTATATTTTATTATTAAAAATTGACGGTGATTATGCTGTTAACCATTATGTAATATGGCATTAGAATAGAAGAAAACACAATTTTGGGTGCTGCTGCCATGATGACCATTATGGGAAAACCATGTTACTTATGATTGCCAAACTTTCAAAAAAAAGAAATACAGGACTAAAATGCAGCCTGAGTTGGAAAAGCAGTCTAATTGGCTTCTTTTTCTGGAAGTTATACATTTTCAAAGTGTGAACTTGTTACACATTTTACTTACATTGGTATTACCTGTTGAGCGTAATTAAAATTTGATGTTGAATTTGCAGTTTAACATAATGTACTTTTGCATCAGAATTGACAGTAGCCTATTTTGTGCATAGTTATTTCCTGTTTTTTTGTCTGTACATTTGACAGCTTTGCTGCCTTGTTATTACTTACCTATTAGTTGTGATATAAGAATGTTGTGTTGATTGGGACATAATGCTTGTGGGAATGCTACTTTTAAGGACTTCATGAAAAGTTTGTAGAGGTTGAAGGATCAGATTATTTGTGTATGCCAGTGATTTCTCAACTTTTCCAACTTGACTGTTTGCAAAGAATTTTTTTTTTTAAATTGGAAAAACCAAAATTATTTACTAGTTGAGATGCAGTGTTCGTCTCTTTAGAGCTAAACCTTAATCAAATAGAAACTTAACTTTGGAAATGTTGTAAATAAACTTCAAGAAATGTTGTAAATATTTTTAAATGTTGTTAAACTTTTTCAAATACAAAGGACTTTTGATTTATTTGATTGAATATTACTGACTTTAAGGCATGGTCAAACAATATATTTACAGCCTAAATCTTACAAGCATGCAGCAGTCAGTAGAAAAACATCAGTAGCCACTGAAGAGGATGAACAAGAACCTGGGACACGCAAAATGGTAAACTGCATTTTAAGATAATTTTATGCCAAGTAATTCAAGTATCCATCTTGTCTGTCATTATCATAAGAAGACTACACAGGATTATCGCATTACACTCACATACTATGACTTTCAAGTCACCTATGTATCTAATTATTCCATGGAATTGAACTTGTTTTGGCTGTAGAAAATGAAAGGAGCTTGAGTATTTTTTGGCAAATTGAGGTTTATATGCTCTAAACGTGTCATGACAGATAAGCCTTAAACAAAATTATACTTTTCAGACATTAGAAGAGAGGCGTATCCAAGAAGGACAGGAATATGAGTTGGAGATTTTCAAGCTTGTGGCTAATGGAACACAAAAGAAAGAAAACATTTGTGTGATCTGTGAAGAATCACATGCACTTGGTGAACTCATACAGTGTGAAGGACCCTGTTCTGGATCATTTCATCTGTCCTGTCTTGGACTGACTGCTGCTCCAGCTGGTGTCTTCAAATGTGATGAATGCACATCTGGTGAGGAACTTCTTTAGTTGAAGAAATGGACTGGGACTTATTTGTTTGTGCATATAAGTTTTTGGAGAAATGTGTACCTGTCTGATTATACCCCAAAAAATCTTAATATTATGGAAATTGAAAAACAAAACACTTAAATTACTGGGCAAGTTTTCATTTAAGTATATATAATTCTATCTATATCCATAGTGTAAATCACCTTCATTGATTTTTTCAGGTTGCCATACTTGTTTTGCCTGCAAAAAAGCTGGAAAAGATCTGAAAAAATGCTCTGTTCCATTGTGCGGGAAGTTCTACCATGAACACTGTGCAAGTCAGTTTCTTCTGTCCAAGTTTGAGGCTAAAGGTCTGGTCTGTCCCCTGCATGTGTGCACAAACTGTGCAGAAGGCAACCCAAAGAACCCAAAAGCAACTAAAGGTAATGAAGACTAAGACAGGTGGTCATTTTGCACTTTTCACTAGGGATATGGATATGGTCAAGGACGACTGCTGTTTCTGTTAGAATTGCTGTTGGAAATTAATCATTATATTTTGAAACTTCAAATATTCGGGGAAATTCACCCTTGAGGGAAATCAGTTTTGTTTCCACCATTTTGACCCTTGTGATAGCTGTTTAGTAACTATGTTTGGCTTGTTCTATTAGAGATGGGTTGTTTTAGCTTGCAACCAGTGTACATTTGGTCCTTTGTAATGATGTATTTAGTAACTTAAGGTGGAAATGAATAATTGAAGGAATATTTCCTTTCTCAGGTCGCCTGTATCGTTGTGTGCGCTGTCCCACTGCGTATCATGCTGGTGACCTGTGTGTGGCCGCGGGCAGCGTCAACCTGGCAGGGTACAATATTGTGTGCAGTAAACACTTTCAGCCAGTGAAGGCACACAAGCACCACTCACATGTCAATGTCTCTTGGTGTTTTATTTGCAATAAAGGTAAGAATTTATTGGTACTCGTTTGATATTGGTTAAGAATTTGTAAATTTCCATTTTTTTCTTTTTAAAATCCTTCTTATGGCATGTGGAGCTTGGTTTTGTTGAATATGAAATGTAAACTGTTTGCCAGTTTATGGTTGAAAACATTGTTCTATTTCATTACGTCATTTGAAAGTGTGAAAGGCTGAAATGTGGACCATGTTAGATGCTCTGTTTAATCATTTCATATTTGCAACATAAATCCTGTTTTCTGACATGTTGGTTTTGGTATGTCATTGACTATGTTGCAACCTTGTTCACAGGAAATGGGAAAATCACCAGTTTTACATTTTCACCATTAGATGCAAAATGAAGAACATGAGAGGCTAAGATCTCTATTCAGATGTTAACATTTTCTTCCTGATTTTCATAATTTTAACCTTAAATATAAACCACAACCTAGATAAGCAGGTTTTATGGATATTTTTTCATTTCCAGGAGGGACATTGCTATGCTGTGAGAGTTGCCCTGCAGCATTCCATCCAGAATGCCTCAAGATTCTGTTCCCAGATGACAGTTGGTTCTGTAGGGACTGTGCTGTGGGGAAGACACCCCTATATGGAGATATTATATGGGTTAAGCTAGGCATTTACAGGTAAATGATTCAGTAGTATCTTTACAGTAGCATTATGAATCTTTTAAACTCCTTGGAATGATAGAGTCTGACATTTTCAGTTTTATAATTGCAACATCCAACTTTGGTGTATTTCTTCTATGGTCATTTCTACTTTGATATAAGTGTTGAAAAATATGAACACTGCTGCTCAGCTGTGTGAATTATGGTTTCAAGTAAAACTAAAGATTGTAAAAAACTTTTTCTCCTTCAGGTGGTGGCCAGGAGAAATCTGTCATCCTAGACATGTTCCCCTCAATATTCAAGAGAAGGACCATCAGGTGGGGGAATTCCCTGTACGCTTCTTTGGCTCACATGATTATTTCTGGACTCACAAGAGAAGGTAAGGGATAAAGTGTCATGAATGGATCATTTTTGAATTTGAAGAGGGACTTATAATAATATAAATCCTATATGAAGAGTGCAATAGTAGGTTCATTGGTCATTTTGTGATCTGTATATAGGTCTTTGCAAAAAGCAAAATTCTAGTTCCTTACTTTCCGCTGTACTTCAAGAAATTTCAAGTTGCTCCTTCAAATAAGTTTCTGTCCACAGAGATTGTATTAAATGAGTAAGATAAATTTTTGTAGAGTTTTCCTGTTTCAAGAGGGTGACAAGGGGAGTAGAGACTACACCAACTGTAAAGGACTGGCCAAAGTGTTCAGATTAGGTATGTAGATTATGCCTTCAACCAACCTTGTGTAGATTTTTCTTGATGGTATTTTAAGTCAACAGCTTTATTGTTGTAATATAATTAAAATGTGTATCTTATTGGATCCTTTTGTCTTTTTCCATGATTAAGCTGTGGCTGAGGCCACTGAAGCATTTAAAGTTTGGAAGTCTTACAAGGACACAAAGGAACAACAAGAGATTGAACGCAACGACAAGAAACCTGCACCATTTAAGTTTATCAAGGTAAATTGTCTGCAGTCAAAATGATATGATTAAAGTTCATTTCAACTTTCTTTACAGATTTAGGTTTTAATTGTTTTTCAGTGAAATACAAAAAAATATTTAGCCATGGGATCATTGTTATGAAAATTTTAGTAAACAAGAGTAATATGTGGTCAATAGCATCAGTCTGGATCATCAACCAGCAACAATTCCAGATCTGAAATATTTTAAACAAAAATGAGAAAAATAGTTAAGTATAAATTGCATTTATTTCTTTCAGACCAATATTCCATATGGCAGTGTTCAACTTTACAAACCTGATCTCTCAGAGCTCCCTCGCTGTGAATGCAAGCCATCCAGCGAGCATCCTTGTGGTTCAGATTCTGAGTGCTATAACCGTATGCTGCAGTATGAGTGTCACCCTTCAGTCTGCCCTGCTGGAGAGAAATGCGAGAACCAGAGGTTTCAGAAAAGATTATACGTGGAGTCAGAATCATTCCGTACCTCTAGTAGAGGCTGGGGATTAAGGGCTCTTAGGGATGTTAAGAAGGTTTGTTACATTATATTTTTTCATTTTTTTATAGTCTCCGATGAAAAGGATACCAGTGATATGATTTTCATTATAACATGCACAGAAGTGGTCACACCTGACACTATTTGCCTACCATGCTTAGAATCAGAATACAACACCTGATTCCACTTTGAATGTCATTTACCATGATGGTGGTAGAATGGTGAAGTGTGATATACTTCCTTCTTTTGTGTAGAGAACTTCTCCATAGTAGCATGGACATATCAACCTTTGTGCTGTTTGACCAGTTCTCTGTGTTTTTGTAAAAAAGAAGATTTGGAAAAATGAGAAGCAAGTCCACTGTATTTTTAGGTATTTTTGTTGTCTGATAAGATGTAAATATTTCACAATTCTATAAATATTATACAAATCTAGGATAAAGGTTACACACGAAAGAAAGACTATCAGATAAATTAGGAAAAGATAATTAAGCAGTCTCTTTGGATATGTACAATATCTGTCTTTATTTCAGGGAGAGTTTGTGAATGAGTACTGTGGAGAACTTGTTGATGAAGAAGAGTGCAAGAGAAGAATACAGAAAGCACATGACGAAAACATCAGCAACTTTTACATGCTCACCATTGACAAAAACAGGTGAAAAGAGAGGATATTAATGTTCGATTTACATGAAACACAATTAGTGATCATCTTGTAATTTTATTCAAAAAGCTAATCTGTATTTTACCAACACTCCATTTAGAATTACACATGTTGGTTACTGGTTGATACGTGCATGACGTTGAAACTTTTATTGTTAGTAAATGAAATAAATCATGCTTTTCAGAATAATTGATGCAGGCCCAAAGGGGAACTTGTCCAGGTTTATCAACCACAGCTGTCAGCCCAACTTGGAGACACAGAAGTGGACTGTCAATGGCAACATTAGGGTGGGGCTGTTTGCTTCTGATGACATTCCAGCTGGTAGGTGGCAGCAGTGTATGACTCGCAATATTATATGCTCCCAGATCTTTGAATGGATCAGATGTATATATATGTATATTTTTTTTTTTCATGTGCCATTTTCATGTATACACAGTTGCTACAAATGAGGGTCTCTGATCACATATCAGTCCTTCAACATAATATAATTTAACCTTTAGTTAAGTTTTCCAGCAAGGATTCATGATTATGTCACTATCAAAAAACATCCATTTAGAATTTGTTTTTATACAAGAACAAACAGTTTGGGAAGGGTATAAAAGGTACTCCAAAAGTAAACTTTCTGTTAATGATTTGTTCACAAAATCTCCTTTAGGGACAGAGTTCACCTTCAACTACAACCTTGACTGCTTGGGCAATGAAAAGACAGTGTGTCAATGTGGATCACCCAATTGCAGTGGATTCTTGGGCGTCAGACCAAAGGTGCAGTTTCATTAATTGTCTTTTGGCGCCATTTCATAGTTCATAGTTGATTATTTCAGTTATGGTACTAAACCTTATGAAAAGACATTGCAGAGAAAATTATAGATCAGAAATTTATATCAAGTGCATAAAAATTGATATTAAATGCTTTTTGCTTGTCAGTTGCAAGTTTGTACTATGCAAGTTTCACAAATAATAATAATTTTTATTTTATCTCATACATAATGTTCCCAATCATTTATGGGTATGTAACCAACCACCAAATTCATGGCAATTTTCCTGCAGACGGCAGCAGCAGCAGCCAATGAAAAGAAGGCAAAGGAGGCTAAGAAACGTAAGAAACGTCGCAACAAACCTGATGTCAAAAAGGAACATGAAGATTGGTGTTTCAGATGTGGAGAAGGTGGAGAGCTAGTAATGTGTGACAGAACCAAGTGTCCGAAGGCTTATCACCTGGGCTGTCTGGGGCTGAACAAGCCACCTCATGGTAAGACTTACATGAACACTTTCATGAAAGGCATATTCTAGCATTGCCCTAAAGTGTTTAACTTCAGAATCAAAATTTTAACCCCTACAACATGGGTCAACAAGGTAATAGAAAAATCGTTGAATAATCACTGCCTAGTTTTAAAATAAAACATTTTTGGTAATCTTTTACCTGTAATGTCCTGTTTTGGCACTGATTTCTGTTCCAATTTGTTAGATAAGCTGACTCTCGAAACGAAATTAATGAAGTATATCTTTAGTCTGGTAAAACTACTTGAAATGAACCGAGATTGATATTGTTAATGATAAACACCTTGTCTTGTAAAGTACATTTAAGTGAGTGGTGATTTGGAAATTTCAAACAGTACACTCCCACGTCTATACTTATATTGATTGTTGTGCAATTTACAGGGAAGTGGGACTGTCCATGGCACCACTGTGATGATTGTGGAAAGCCAGCAGTGAAGTTATGCACAGAGTGCCCTAATTCTTTCTGTCAAGCTCACATAGAAAAAAATGTCATCCTTGACTTGGCAGATGGCACCGTTTTGTGTAGTGACCATGACGAGCTTGTGGATAGTATGAAGAACTCCAGCAGTGGCACTGACAGTGAAAGCAGCAGCCAAGTTGCATCGGACGTCACCCAGACGTCTACATCAGCAGTGCCTACTGAGCAAGGTACTGATCAAGACAAGACAAAAGCAATTAAAAGAAGAAAAGCAGCAGAAAGTAACAGGACAGCTGCATCAAAGAAGATACAAAAGAGAGCCAAAACCAGTAGCAAGCAGCCATCTCAGGGGAATGAAATGAAGATAGAAACAGAAGATCCTGGTTCTGAGAGTGATGATGGAGATGGAAAGTTGGTCATGGACGTTCCTGTGTTATGAGGACACTGAATTTAGAGTTCCAATGCATTGTTGTATGTATATATTTATATTTGAAAAAAAGTACATTAAGATGTCCTTTTTTCAAAGTATTGTACAGGTATATTTGATAGATTGCTTAAACAGATACGATGTAAAAAAGAAAGCAATGGAAATGTTAAAGACTAATTATCACTGATCATAAAATATCAGTGAACATTCATTTGTATGTTTCTGTTCAGAAAGATCAGTGTGTCCCTGATATTAGGTTTAGAACCTGCTTCATTATAGGATGTTCCTAGTAAATTCTTTGAATGGCATAAAATGTTAAAATATCTTCACATCAAAATATCTTTATATATTGCCAATTAGTGAGCATCTGTAGATTTCAAATGAATTATTGTAAAATGTTTTGACTTGCAAGCTCTGATACAATTTAAAGGACAGACTATCTATTATATGCACAGACAAGAAATCGAGTCCTTCAGATAACAAATTGGAAACATATTTGAGATTCATGTTCTTTTTAACATTTGTTATTTGAATGTGTTAGAAAATGTTCATCTGGGTGAGGACTGGGTGTGTCTTTGTGTTGATGTGTGTTTTAGCAGATAGTTATTTTATTTTTCATTCTTAAAATGAAGGTGAATCATCTTTATAGATAGCATTCTACCTTTCAAATTGTTGAAAAGACTCAGCATATAGAAGTATATTTTATGAAATGCACTATAATTATTAATAGATAAATGGTCTTTTTTTTCATGTTGATTGAATGAGACATGTACAAAAGGTTTCCAGTGGGAGTTTTAAGCAATGGTAAAATGGATTTTTGTTTTCATTTTAAACTGACCTGCCCCACACGTGGTTGGCTTTAAGTTGGGATTAATTTTTCTTAGTGATCAATATGGTAAATTTGCTTGCAATTTTTATTCCTTGTTATCATTTGTCAGATAGGTAAGTTCCAGGTGTAGAGATGTTTATATATTGTCAGGTAATTGTGTCAGTGATTTTGTTTTGTAATTATTTATTTTGACTTTCCAGGGAAGTATTAGTATCTCAATATTCCGGTCTTAATGTATCTGCTGTTATTGATTAGCTAATTGCAGCAGTTTTGTCAGGTGATATTATGGCTGCCAGGCACAGGAGAGAAGTAATGTATGTGCATGAACATCTCACCATATTGTGAATAATGTTAAACCACTTGTCTATTTGTGTATCACATTTTTGAAATCTGTTCAACTTTATTCGAGCAAAAGTTTTTATTATGGCTTCCATGGTAATGGGAAGCAGTGGGGATCAATATGACACTAGGGGCACCTGCATCTGTATATCTGGCAGCAAAACTGTATGTGAATAATAACCTCTACATGTTGTTGTTCTAAAAATGGAGCGAGTTGAGTGATGTCTTTATTATGACCGAAAAAGACAAACAGTATTGTTTTAGAGCTATTGAAATAAATATCATAAAAACATCTGCTGAAGTACTAACCCAGGGATTAATATATTTATCCCCCTTTCTTTATGCTCTATAAAGTGACATACCTCAAGAACTTTTTGTAGGGAACCCTTTACTTATGTGAAACTCGTCTACTTTACTGTATGCTTATAAAGAAAATGACAAGTGTGTTGTACATGTATATGGGGACTAAATTATATAGCTCATTTTATAATCTCTGGAAACTTCACTGTTTAGAAGATGGTGGATGTAGCCTGTGCACTTAAAAAAAAAAGAAAACCAAGTCTGTTGCTTGTACCATTACGTTTCCTCCAAAAGTAAGGCTAGCTAGTGAAGTTTCCTGCTAGTATGTGCCAGCTGTAGGTGAACAGCTTGAAGGTATTGAGTACATTCTTTTTTTTTTTTTTCTTCAATTATATGGTGTACTTAGGACTCTGTGTTTTCAAAGTTTTTGTAGAATTTTGAAAGCATTGAATGCTTTTAAGAGCCTCAGATAATGTTTTATTGAAAAAAAGTAAACGTAAAAAGACACCTAAAGATGAGAAAACACTTCATTTGTTTAGAAGAGATTTAACTTTATTTTGAAACATCCTTTGTGCAAAAAAAAATTAAGAATGAGCTCAAACTTAATTGGTGATATACATATAAACATGTTATAACTGTTGTATTCTTTAAAAATAATGGTCACCAAAAGGGCAGTTCATATGAAAGACCAGACAGTAGCTGTAAAATATTTAATCTGGTTACATTTATTTTTGGTCTTTACTTAAAAGTGCAGTTTTGAATGCTAAGAAAGACGTTAATTATTTGTAAGCAGGACTCTAAAAGGTAAAACAGCTATATGTGGAAAGTATGGTTAAAGGTGTCAGCTTCAAGCTGTTTTAATTCAGTCTATAGGTGAAGTGGCGACTCAATTTTTTAGATTTTTTCAGACTTTGGTAGAAGATGACTAAGCTATCATAATGAAACACTGTGATGCTTCAACTCATTCGTATTTGTTAGCTATATTCCAAATTTGTAAGTTGTGTAGTTCATTGTTTTGCTAGTTCTGTTCATTGGAATTGATTTTTATTTTTGTTATTTTACATTACTTTCTCATTTCCAAGTACTGCTTTGGTAGGTTGTAGCCTGGGTAAAAATAATGGCGTGCGTACATAAAAATAACTTTTTTAATTGTAAGGTCATTTAATTTCTATAATTGAATGTATTTGCTTCATATTTTAAATGTGCACAAGGTAATAAATAGGTTTGTCTGTTTCTAATTCCATACTATGGTCATGACCATTGTCAAATTGGTGCATATTTCTATGCAAAATAGCTCTGGGCCTAGAATAAAGTCAACTTTTCATTTCAGGTGACTTGCCATTGTTGAACACTGCAATTACCTTCGTCATCCTTTTGAAATAAATTTCAGGAATTGTAAAATAATTTGGTCTTTTGCATTATTTATTTATTTAGGCATTAATTTACCATCTGATGCTAGTCTGTCTGGTCTTACAATGTTTGCACCAAACCTCTAAATGTTTCACGAGTCACAATATGCACATGAACCACTGTCAATGCTGGGGGACTATTAATATCTGGTAATCAAATATCAATTATTTCATTCCACCTGCAGAAACATCTATTTTTGGAGACTAGTGGTTTTCATTCTTCTGTTTACTGGTGGAGAAACAGTAACACTTCCAACAGCAACCGTGAACATCCATTCATCACACTTAAATGTAGAACTCCATCTGAATCCACTTTTTATGACTTCATGTCATCTTGGATCAATGGCCATAATGCTGTCTATCTGGTGTGTTTTGTTTCTCATATATGCTGTCCAGTTTTATCTGACTTCACTTCTGTAGGCAAATTTAAGAACGCTTCTATTTTGGAGCAACTCTCTGATGGCATCTTCATATCTTTCCATGTCACTCCCTTCATGCTGCCTGGTTAACTGAAGGAACTTCAGTGTGTATAGGAGTATCCACTCCAGCAGAAAATATTCTCCTTTTCACAATGTAAAGCACTGTAGCAAAGAAGAAGACAAGAGCCAGGAATATGAGGAGTTTGTCAGTCATTTCCCTCCTGTTGTACTTGGTGAGCAGTTTTCGTGAGGCTGTGATGTGTCCACCCATGTTCTTAAACTCTTCATGAGTGTCTGTGATTGTCCTTGAAGAAGTTTCTGAAAAAAAATTTATTTTAATTTTATATCACCAACACAGCTGATAAATGCAAGAGAATACCATGTGGTTACAGGTACATAGTTTAAGGAATAACAAAAATATGGTCTTCAGCTTTCAAAAAAGACAACTGTTCAAACTTAAATATCACAAAAAAGATGGTAAAAAACTTATTAAACTTATAAAATTTATTATCTTGAACAGCACTGACAAAAACTGACATAATCCTCTCTAGCATAAGACTGCATATTTCTAAATACAGCTGGAAGTACATTTAAATGCCTTTGACACTTGGAGGAACTATAAGTAAGCCTACCTAAAGTGGCCATGGTCTGTTCACTGTGCTGTACTTGGGTTGCCATGAGTCTACTGAGGCTCATCAGGCTCTCTGTCACATTGCTGCTAGCCTTGACTAAGCCCTGTCTGCCCAGGTGCTTCCTGAAATACTGTACTACTGTTAGAATCCTAAATACCAACAGTGAACATCTTAAAGATTACATAAATCAGGAATCCAGAAATATCCATTCATTAATATTTTTGGATGCTCTTTGTGAATTCATGGAAGGAATAACAAAAATGTACAAATCAGTGATAAAACAACATTACCTCTGCCTCATTTCAGCTCCGCCTTGCATAAGCTGCTCTTTTTCTTTCTTCTCCAAAGTTATCTGTGAAGCTAAGTATGCTTTGCGTAATGCATTCTGTGTGCTATGTTATAAAGACAATATTGAATTTTTCTTTTAATTTCTTGCTGTCTTTAAAATCAAAGTGTGTCTCTGATACCATGTTTCTTTTATCCAATGCCATACATATTTATTACTCAAGAAAATCTTAGATTTTCCTCACTTGATATCAAAAAGACAAAAAGGCCATTTTCAAAAGTTATATTCAAAAGGAAAGAATGAAACTTAATTTGCAGGATTCAAATTAATTACATAAATACAGTTCCTAGATTGTAACTTATGGTCCCTTTAACTACAGCAAGCAATGAGTCTTTTTGTATTGAACAAATGAAATAACCAATTTCCATTCAGCAAATCTCACCTTGCCAACTGTGTCCTGTGTTTTTCTACATCATTCAATATATATTGCTTGTCTGATTCCTTATCCTGTTCCAGTGCTAGCTTTTCAAGTTCCTAAAATATAAACTGACCTCATGTTCATAATCTTTACCATTATAGGCCAATTAAAGAGTCAGCTGTTTGGTTTTTTCAGTCAGTTATGATTACCAAAAGCACCCAAGTGAATAAAAAAAAGCAAAATTGCTGACTAAAGAAATTTAAAAAGTGACATAAAAATATTCATCACTGAGAGTGTACACATATCAAATAATGTTGTTTTGCCTTAATGTAAACACGGTACTTACCTCAATTTTTTCTCGCAACCCATTTATCTTTCCCCTTGCCTTCAGGTTGAGATCACTTAGTGCTTCAAGCGGGCCATCAAATTCTCGAATATCCTGAAAATATGCATTTCTTCAATCATTTAGATGTGTGCGAACTGAACGGTTAATTTTTGGGAGTACCTCCACTTGCAGTTGTGCTAGTGCTAATTAGTACTGACTGGTACGTGTACCAGAGCAGCAGAAGAACCGTTTAGACCAGTCAAAAGAAGAATCCAGTTCGTTTTGGTTAAAGATGTCATCAAGCATGCTGCATGTTATGGCTCCGTTATCATCTTACCTGAATAGCTGCTTTTGCTTGAAGGTCCAGCTTCACTACATCTTGCTGGCACATCTTCACGGGTAGAGCCATGTCGCGCCCGTTCTTTTCCGTGGCTTGAGGGTAGGTCTGAGTTTCAAAGTACCTAAGTACAGTTGATGAAATCGGTAAATATTTGCTAGATATAAACATTTATATACTTTTGGGCATCGATCTACGAGTCCATAAAACTTACTGTTATATTTCTAATATTGACAGTTTTTTTGTTAGACGTATTTTAAAACGTTTAGGCCAAAAGATATGTTGCAAAAGAAAACAGGTTGTACCGTTTTACGGCTGCTGTCAGGAAATCACTTCCGGTGTGGTTTGCGGCCACGTCAACCTGAGTCTTGTGTGCCGCATTAGCACCCGTATTAAAGTAATGGGAACTGGCACGAATAATAGATCGAGCCACGATACTTTGTATGAAGTGGAACTGTTATTGATGAGCGACACACTTAATTCGTTGGCGTTGCGTGTTCGCGGCCTCGTTTTTGACTTCATAAATTTTTATCGAGTTTGGAATATGATTTTATATACTTTTGTTTTCTTTTAGTTCAGCGGTAGATTTATTTTCATATTAAATGTGTGCAATATATCATCAGTGCTTATTTGCAAGAAGTGTATGCAAAGGCGGGCAGAACGAGATCCTTTAAACCATATGGCCAGGTAAAATACATGTATTATTATTATTCCAACTTAACATTTGCAGACGTAGAATTTTTTTTTTTTTTTTAGATCAAGGTAGTTGCAAATTTCTTCATGCTATAGTATAATTTTCCTTAATTTTATTTATTTGTTATTATTTATTATCTTTTCGTTCTTTTTTTAATTGATTACTAGTAATTAAAAAAATATACTCTTTTGTTTGCCTATCATGATGCCAACATCAGAATTCAAGATAAAGATCTACTGAGGCATTATTGGTCATTATTTTTTAAAGTGTGCAATATTAATAGCAATCAATATTAGAGATGATAACTTACAACAACCTTGCATATAGGTTAATAACTGTTTCTTTTTTCTTCTCCCTCTCTTCAAGGATCAGCATAAGATGCCCAGGTACATCATCAAAATGGAGTTGCTTTGCTCAGATGAATGGATGCACCTCCAAGATATTACTGGCATTAGTACCATGTGTGTGTGTCATCATAATCATCATAACTGTTATACAAAACTACAGCATTCAGAGGCATGAGAGAGCATTACTAAACCATGCACCTCCCAGGCCAAGAACTGACCACTATACCGCCGTTACTAATGTTCAAGATAACAGTTTACATTATGGGGTGGTTTTTGACTGTGGAAGCAGTGGGTCCAGGGTGTATGTATATGTGTGGCCACAACATTCGGGGAATCCAAGGGAACTGCTCAAAATAAATCCTATGGTGGATGAGGACAAGAAGCCTGTGTCAAAGAAAATTACGCCAGGTAATGTGAGATCTTCAGTCTGTTTTTTCAGTTTATGTAGATAAAATATTCTTTTGAATTTTCATTCTATTTTTATTCATTCTTTTCTTTTTTATTCCTTACATTTAAAGAATTTTGTATAATAACACATATTTCCCTTTTTTAAGATTCCGAATAAATCCTTTTTACCACCTAATATTTATTGGTCTAAATAACTAAACAAAATAATGTTTATATTTGTATTTTTGCCAAAGACCAATTTATCTCTTGTTAATGAAATATAATATACTTACAAAGAGTGTAAATGTACATGCTAATAGAAAGCCAATTTGATTTATTAATAACAGTTACTGTTATTTATTGGGGAAAATAGGCCAACATGGCATGTTTAGTTGAGATACTAGGCATTCCCATAGAATACTTGAATGCAATGTGCAATTAATGATATGCTAAAAATCATTTGAAACAATATAATCAAATGCTGAAATGCCAAAGAAACATTAGAATTTTTTTTTTTTTTTTTTTTGCTCCATCCTTGTTGTTTCAATTTCACTAGGTCTGTCAACATTTGGTAAGACCCCTTCTAAAGCTAGTGAATACCTACGACCTCTATTGGAGTATGCAGCAAAACATGTGCCAAAAGACAAACACAAAGAAACACCTTTGTATATTTTAGCTACAGCTGGAATGAGAATGTTACCACAGAGGTAAGACCATTATTTAGTCAGGTTTTCATTTGATAGCTTTATGATGATGTGTTAAAGACATTTGTAACAATGGCTAGAAATGGTCAGTGAGTGTTTTTTATTAATTACATTTATTTATTTATTTATTTATTTGTATTTCATATAATCTCATTGACAAAAATACTGCCACATAGGTTTCAATACTGAATGTCAAGCTCTAGCACCAACCATTAAACTTAAGGACACTACGTGGAAGCTACACTCATAAAAATTGTTATTGAAGTATAGAGCATTTTTCATATTTTATTGTTCAAATATCAGAAATCAATATAGCATAAATGTTACAATATGGAAAGAGGAATGGTTGTTAAGTCTATTAAATCCTCAATAACTATTATTGATATTTAAGTCTATACATTACACCCGCTGGATTGTGTGTGATGTGAATGTCTGATGAGTTTGATTTGAATTATAAATATAAGCAGACACTAATGTCTCATGTTCACGGAAACAAATATATGGGTATCTATTAAATATTTCAGCCAGCAAGATGCCATCTTAGAAGCCCTCCGTACGGATATCCCAATATTTTTCAACTTCCAGTTTGCAGCTGATCAAATTGGAGTAATCTCTGGAAAAGAAGAGGGGGTGTATGCATGGATTGCAATTAATTACATCTTGGGAAGATTTGAACATGGGGAAGATGGTACGCACACAAGTTTGCTTAATGACAATGATATAGGATTTCTTGTTGTAAATACTCGTTCTTTGTTACTCAACTGTATACTCCCTGCATCAAGAATCCTGAAATTTCCTTAATGAAAATGAAAAACTGTATTTCCATGCTCAGGGCCTGGATGGTAAAGAACAAACTAATGATAAATGACAGCCTAACAATTCTTGGTTATCACATAGCCTCACAACAATCACACTGCAGAAATCCTCAGTGCTAAGATTGGTGAAAGTGTGGTCAAATTACTTCTTCTCAAGCAAAAATCTTGGTGTATATATGGACACCTTTCTGTCTAAGGACAAACAAATATTCCACATTTCTAAATCATGCATGTTTCATGTCAGAAACAAAGCTTCATTGAGAAACCATCTAAGTGACTCCCCCACTGCTACTATTCTTAATGCTCAACTTGACTACTGCAATTCTCTTCTTTGTGGATGTCGACAAGAAAAAGTAAAACGTCTGCAACGTATTAAAAAAAATCTCTGCTTGACTTCTTACCGGTACCTGCACATCTGGCAACGGTCGCATTACCCCTTTTCTCAAACAACTTCACTGGCTACCCACAAGAGCATGGGTTCTTTTTAAACTTTTAGTATATGCACATCTGCTTTTTACAACTTGACCCCACCATATTTATGCAATCTCGTATCAACTTGCAAGTACCCACCCCCTCCCCCCAACTTTTCCGACCATTTACTCTTAACACCATGTAAGGCTCATCTTGTCGCATACGGTAACAATTTTGATTTCTGCATATTTTTTAAATCAGTTTTTCCTGCATTGATAACCTCAGTTTTATTTCATGCAGAGTTTTATAATTAATGTTCCAGATGACCCCCTGATAGCTGTGGACCCCCCTGGTGCCAAGGCCAGCTCTGGCCCTCATGTCAGGAAGAGAACAGTAGGCATGATGGACATGGGAGGGGGCTCCATGCAGATTGCCTATGAAGTTCCCAAATCTGTAAGATTTGACTCTCCAAAGGTTATTATTCCCTATGGGTTCTCTTTGCTTCTTTCTTTTTCTTTGGTAATAGTAAAATGTGATGTTTTTTTAAGAATTACAATAAAAGGTAGAAGTTTTACTGATTTGATGTGTTAGGATTTGTTGTGTGTATCTTGAGAAGGGTATTCAAAGAAATCTGGTAGAAATCAGTGGATCTGGTTAAAGTCATTTGTTTATCAAAGGAAATCACTTCAAAAGGTGAAGGAATTATGTATTAGTTTGTATTTAGAAGGGTGAATGTTTGTTACTAGGTGTGTTCTTAATGGGGAATAGTGTGTGGGCATTCAATTATACATACCAGACTTATTTTATAATGCATGGCACGATATTGTTGAAATTATTATTTCATAAGTTGCATGTTGAAATGATGTAGGACGAAAAAAGAGGATATAAGGAAACTTTTCTATTCCACTTAATTAGGTTTTTTTAAGATAAAAAAATGAGTTTTAAGTTTTGCATGTGATATATTTTTGCCTTTGTTGAGACCAACCTCCAGTCTAGCTAGCATCTAACAATATCACCTCATTTTGAGGTGTTCAAACAATTTAAATTGGTCCACCAGTTTACCAGTTTACAAGGATATGTCAGACAAAAGAAAGGAGCACACTTGGTTGGAAATCTCTAATTAATAAAAATGATCTGTAATAAATACATATTAATGTTTCAGGAGGAGATTGCAAAAACCTTGATCTCAGAGTTTAATCTAGGATGTAGAAAGACGGACCTGGATCACAACTACAGGACGTATGTCACTACATTTCTAGGCTATGGTGCTAATGCTGCCAGAGACAGATATCACAAAGTAATTGTAGACATTGCAAAGAGGCGGAATCTCACCAGGTATGGATTTTTTTAGTCTGAAAATTGGATAGAATCTTGATTTAATCAATATGCTGTAGAATTTGAGATTATTACGGATAAAATGGTGATAGCAGACAGTTTAGGTGAATTTTGCTTTACTTGCTGTGAAGAATGACTGGTATTTAAGAGATGAAATTGTATTCATTTGAAGATGTGCCAGTATTTGCAGCATCTTATAGCTTATTAATAATACTAAAATTGTGACTGAAAAATGGAAAATTCTTTGCCTTTGAAATATTTCCCCTTTCAGAAAGTTTCTCAGGCTGGTCAAATTGTTTCTGTGCATTCATGTGCGTAACCCTGTGTGAACTCTAGATTTCAAAAGATTTACTTACTCTTTTTTTCAGTTTTTATAAAAACTCACCAATAGCACCCATTTTGGATCCCTGCAGACCATTCGATTTGTCTGAAACTTACAGTGTAAATGGGACCTCGTATCATTTCCTGGGAACAGGAAACTATACAGCTTGCAAACCTGCTGTGATACCATTACTTAACCTTACGGCTCACTGTGTCAAGGAGCCTTGTTCTATTAATGGCATATACCAGCCACCAATTAACTTTTACAACAGTGAGTTCTATGGTTTCTCTGAGTTTTGGTACTCATCTGATGATGTGTTGAGACTTGGAGGAAAATACGACTACTATAGATTTGAAAAAGCAGCCAAGGTAAGAGGGTGCAGTATAGCGTGTTAAAGATAAACTTATCTATTATTAATTATGCTTTTGCTGTTTCTGTAATCATATTTGGATTTTATAACATTGACATCAAACAACACTGATATGAGGACACTCATTTAATTAAATTTCATGTCTGTCCTTAATAAATTCAATAGAGATACATCTTAGAACTTGGCATTTTTTTCTGGAAATTTTCTGTATTACAATTTAAATGGGAAAAGAAAAACCTTTCAGTATTCCTTTTCCACATAAGCATAACTATATATTTCTATATTAATGTATTGATTAAATGCTGTTATCTTGAACAGTTTTGTTTATCCAAGCCTTATAAGGCTGAACACTATGAAAGGTTCTTTTTAGTCAGTGTTAAAAATTATTAACATGATAAATTGATTAACTTACAATTTAGCTGGGTTGCTAAGTGTAAAATTTGACTTATTTAATTGCTATCAATATAAAAGCTATTTGAAAATATGCCACTTATATGCCACAAATTATTTGACTTTATAATTAGAAGAAACTTCAAAAGCATGGTAATGAGTAGTGCCTGTATGGATGGTTTTTAAATCTGTACCTTTGCCCACATTTTAATCCAAGGTCATGTTTATTATTTTAGGTCTGGCCCATATTTTAATTCTAGGTCATGTTTAATATTTTAGGACTACTGTGCCTTATCTTGGAAGAAGATATTAGATTTCAAAAAACAGAACTACTATCCTAAAGCAGATGATGAACGATTAAGGTATTTGTTAACTTAAATGAAAAGAAATAACTCAGAGAAGTGAAAATGCATAGAGGAGAATTTTTTATGCCGAAACCCAATCTGAACTAAAATATTATCNAATTTCCACATGACAACGATTTATAGACTCCCGGGAATTATTTCCCCTTTACGCTTTTTGTCGCGCTGGCGGTCGACGCAGCATTTATTTCTAAACAAGTTGACCGCCAATTAAGCACGATTTTGCACCTTCAAGTTCCGTGTCACGTTTTCATATCATGCATTTATTATTTCTACAAGTTTTCTCTGCCCAAAATGCGTAAAAAAAAGAGAGTTATCTTACCATGTTGTTTAGAAAACTTCTTTTTCCTCCGACAACCCATCTTCACTGCCGTTCACCTCTATGTTAAAATGACCACTCAGCTTCGTTTCTAACACCACTGCACGTCACTTCCGGCACAATTCTGACCAATGCTGATCTTCTCCGGTTCCCTTTATTAAAGTGGCACCAGCCATACATATTAAGTTGCTGTAGTCGATATTTTACATCCATCTGTTGCCCCTTTAATATTTTATTAATTAAGAACGAGTGGTTTTCAGATTAATTGAAAGCATATACCCACATGGCATGCATACTGATTAGGATTTTTCGTGTGATATAAGCATTAACTGAATATGCAATTCCAGAGAAGAAAAAATTCTACAAGACATTGTTTCTGTGAAAAAAATATGATACCTTCAGCAACAACTCGGTGAACCATTCCCTTCATAATGAAAAGCAGAGTCGGATATCCTGATTTGCTTCATTTTTCTAAATGAATTTTGCAGGACCCAGTGTTTCAAGTCGGCATGGATGAGTACAACTTTACATGTGGGCTTCAAGTTTCCAAAGACGTACAAACATTTCCGCTCAGCTCAAGTAGTTTATGATAAAGATGTGCAGTGGACACTAGGTGCTCTGCTGTTTAGGATAAGGTATTTACCACTCAGGTGCGTAGAATGAATTTTACACTTTCTTCAACTAATTTAGCACATTTGGTCGGAAAGGTTCACTGTGTTTTAGAGGGATTCTATTTTCTCAGATGCTTCAAGCATTAGTAACTTTTAGAAACTAAGACTAGAAAGACTTCGTTATTTGCAAAAAAAGTAAATTAAAGTAACTAAATGAAAATAATAATTATAAAAAGAAAAAAACATTGAATCATCTCTTCTTATGATCATTTGTAAAATTATATGAATTCATAAGTGTACTTATTACAGTGCTCAGAAAATTAAAAAGTATCTTTGAGGAATAATATTGCTTAGGTTCATCAGTGATTTTAATAGACTGCATATGTTTCCAGTATTTTTAAACGAATCAGCTATTTTGCCACCAACTCTTTACATACGTGTAAGGTAAGCAATTTCATTATTTAAAATTTTCAGAGAAGTGGAAAAAGTATTCTATCAGCATTTTCGCCCGCCTTGGGTTGATCAACCATTTTACATGACTTTCCTACCCTGGTTCTGCATAGCTGTTGTTATCATTGCCATACTTCTGTACTGGGTTCGCCTCAACAGGATGAGAGGACGACCCTTACCCTCCGAGTCGCATGCCGAGTACCTACGCAGTATCCCCAGTATGGCGTATTTTATGACCGAGGAGGATGAAATGGAGATGGGAGTGAAAGTGCTGCCTGCTATGCCTGATAGCTGAATTAATACCTCTAGGTCAATACATACTGAATATGTGCAGTGTACACCAATGCCTATTACCGATTTCAAAGCAGGGACATTTGTCACAAACTTAGTGCAAGTCTGTTTTTAGATAACTGGTTCTTCACAAGAGTAGTGCACTATGTCACAATTCGGTTTACAAAACATATGGGGGGGGGGGGGGGGGGGGGGAGGAGGAGTGACGACTGGTCTTTCATAGAACTGTTTTGATTGTTTCAGTTTAGATTAAAATTGAGCAGGGTACACTACTTCACAACAGACAGTCTTTCGGGTTCAAGTATAACACAGACCTGAATACCTCGGCCTTGATTTTAGGCCTTTATCACACAAGGGCAGTAAAAGGAATTTGGCTGTAGACCCTTAGCACTGACACAGTACACAATGCTGCATACTCACAATTTCTTAAATAAGAAAATTTGCAGAGAAGTTCCTGTATTGCATTTGGCTGTACAAAGATGGAAAGCTGCAGCTGTGATTATAAAGTTGTAAGTCACATTGCATGTGATGTATTGAATGAAATGATCAGTTCTTATCTGTGATATTACCTTTCTGAATTGTCAGCATTTGATCATTTCTATTATAATGGCTGCAGTATGGTTAAGAGAATGTTTCTTAGAAGTTAGATGCCATTCAGGGGTTACCTACCTCTAAATTCTACAAAGACGAATTATGTTGATGGTGTAGAGATCATTCTGTAGTACACAAACTGTGTCCTTTTACAGATGCATTAATACCTGGGAAATATTTTATATTACTATACACATGTGCAGTAAAAAGATGATGCTTAACTGGAACAAGATTGCTTTAGTTTTTATAGTGGTAAAGTGGCCAATCTGATACATATATGCCAAGTATAGAAAACCTGGAATGTTAGCAGTTACTTCTGAATCAGTAACAGTACACTGGTGGTGGTAATGGTAATGTAAATTTTAATTTGGTGTAGTTATTTATGTATACATGTGAATTTATTTCTAAATTTGGCAAAATATCTGAATGTTTTTAAAACAACAGAAGTGATAATAATCACAGTGTCAATTTTTTGTAGATATGGAACATCATAAAATCATTCAATTAAATTAATAGCTTGGATCAAACAAGGAATAACTAAGAAATACATTTAATTGTTTTTATACTGTGTTGGTCAATTTTATTGGCTTAAGACAAATTAACCTATAATTCCCTAGTGGATTTGAAGGCCATGGTCGATGTTCTAGCTAAAAGCTAATATTATGTACACAATTCTTGAAAAAGATGCACTTAAATAATTTCTATCGCAATGCTCTACTTTTTTCAGAATTTATCCATGTAATGCCTAATTTCCATAACTGAGCACAATCAAATAGAGATTTTATTTTATGAGATATGATTAAAATACCTAATATCTATTTGCATTATCTGTTACCTACAAGTAATGTAAGGATCAAGCAAAAGCTTTGTCACCTACTACTATTATAAGAAAAAGAAAATAGTTACAACAAAGAATACATATTTCTAAATCAAGGTGGGAACACATTTTATATCCAAATGATCATAATGCTTAAAAGGGATACATTTAGCCTAGAGAACTTCCAGGAATGTCTGGAGACAAAGCATACCCTTCCATGTCCCTGACAACTTGCCAGCAAGGTCAAGGTCAAAATTCTCTGCAATTTGAGGCAACAGCAAAATGTGACATAGGATTGTGAATATGCAATGTGTATTAAATCTTGAAGTTCTTATATAGATAGCAAAGCTGGCAAGTATACAGACAATACAGCCAATCAAGTTACCAGAGGGTTGAAAGTAACTAAAATTTGAAAATGAGTAAAAAACCACCAACTTGTTATCATTTATAGTAAGAACAGTATGCCATTCCATATCAGTGCAGCTGACAGACAAAAAAGTTAAGCAATGGAATTTGGGACAATTTTGTACTGGAAAAGTAGTGAAGTTGCCCTGTTTTTAAATTCTCATTCATTTTGAATGCATCTAATTTTTTTTTTAGTTAACCTCAATGAAATTTGAGGTAAACTTGCAGTTTCTGTCTGTATAAATGAGTATGCTGCAAGCAACAAATTAAGATATGAGTGTGTTACTGTCATAAAAAGACAATGGAGTTCAGAAAATATACAGACCAAGGCTTCTGCATATGAAAATATCCACTCAAAAGTTTTTTGCTTGTTTAAATGAGGTAAAACTTATCTAAGTATCCATGACCTTTAATATTTGATTTACTATCTATGGTATCACAAAACCTACATATATGACATAATAAAACATAATGCATAGAAGATGAAATGGAGCACATTAATATCCCATGCTAAAATGTGCACCAGTTGTAATGCACTCGTAAAAATACAGAAAACTTTGGTATGATGACAGTTTACCAACATTCTAATTCCTTATAAATATATTCAATCTAATTACAATTGTGTTCACTTGTCCATTCCCGCTATACCTGTTCCATGTGGTTCACTGGAAGATTGTATTACATGTGAAGCCACATGGACAAGGGTAGCTCTGCGTTAGGTGTGACACTGAAATTAACATTATGGCCGTCTTTCGTTCTTTCACTGCTAGCTGGGCTGCATTTGCCAAGTTCTCTGCTAAAAAGCTTAATCTCTGTTGAATACTGTAGACCCTCCCATCCCCACCACCACCAAAGAAAGGGGGAGGGGGAGGGAGAACAAAAATGGGCCACATTACCCAAAACCATCCCCTTTCAGGGGATTTGGACCGTTTGGGGTCCATACCAGTATAAATAACCTGGAGAAATTCCAGATAAGACAAGAGTCTGGTCTGCCTCAAACCAAACTATGACCATGAGAAAAGTGATTCTAAGTAGCTGAACATACAATACTAATATTACTTCCCGGTAAAATCCCATGTCATCCTGCACAAAGTGATTTCATTGGACTTGGTTCATATGTGTGCCAGTTTGCATCATACTAATCACTCTTATCTCTGCATCCTTTCCTACAGCTGTATTTGGTTATACAAGTATTGTTTAGACATATAGTTTAAACTGGTCAGTTTTAGACAGCAACAGCTCGTAATTTTTCTAGTTCTACTTTGACATCTGCAAAAGTGGGCCTCCTGGCCGGGTCTAAGTCCCATGCTTTGCGCATGACTTCATACACCTCATTAGGACATCCCTCTGGTTTCTCCATCCTGTATCCTCGCTCTACATGCATTACCACATCTGCTAGAGGCTGAAATAGATAAAAAAAAAAACAAGTTTATATCAGCTTATAAAAAAACTAGAATAAGTTACTTCAAACACCCACTACAGTATACATATTTTATGCACACACACACACCTAACACAGTTATAAAAGCCAAACACTGGGCAGGTACAGTAAAAATACGGACTAATGATTTGGAGTTTTATTTATTTATTTATTTATTATTTTTTGTACATCTTAGTTTTTTTAATCTTCGGAATACATGTTTACTTAAAAGGGAAATTAACAGACTTGGAGTTTATTTTTTTGTAGATCTTCGTTTTTTTATGTCTTATTTCAAGAAAACCTGTTTTTACAGAAAATCTGATTTTGCATTTTCACCATTTGAATAAATTTTAAACTCTAAATCCAAATTTAAGTTCCAGTTTTAGAACTACTTACTATTCTTGGGTATGGCACCCTTCCAAAGGAATAAATCTCCCATATTAGGATTCCAAAACTCCACATATCAGATTTGTTGGTAAATTTCTGAAATGTAACATTATTCCAAGTATCAATCACTGCCTGAAAAACTGTTACGGTATCAATTCTTTAAAAATTCATAACCTATTGGACATTTTGTAGCAAAAAAAAAATGTTGAAAGTTTTTATTTTTCAGTTTTTTACTTCACCCTGAATAACAAGTTATACTTACATTCTCTCTTAAAGCTTCTGGTGCTGTCCATTTAATTGGGAACTTTCCTCCTGCTTGGTTCGAATCTGCTCTTCTAGCAAGTCCAAAATCAGACACCTGATAAAAAAAACAACATATAATATAACAGGACTGCTAGATAATAATATAATATAATAGTTTGCTTGTTTTTATTCAAGATCCATCTAAAAAACTTTAATAAAAAGACAGTAATGATGTAGTAATACTGAATTAATTCATTATAATATATCTTTCTGTCGAAAGACTGGATAATTCGCCCAAATCAAAATGTTGAACCAAAAAATAAATATGGCAGAAATAATCATGAAATATCTGACAATACTCGAGCCAGACAAGAACATGTCAGATATCAGTTTAGCTATCATCATGCTAGCACAAGCCAAAGCATACTGATTATAAATCTACTTTCATGTAAATCAAGAATCTGGTATTCATATGCCCACCTTGGCCACTCCATCTTCTGATATTAAAACATTTCTGGCTGCCAGGTCTCTGTGTACTAAACTTTTGGTTTCTAAGTATGCCATTCCTTCACAAGTATCACTAAAAAAGCAATAATTCATTTAATATTATTAATTGCTTGGGGTATTTTTACTGGCACTTTTATATTTTATTCAAACAGCTTTTGGTTGCACTTTCAATACTTTTCTGTAAAGACCTATACAATTTTTTTTCAATATATATATTTTTTATCAAATTCTGTTCAGACTAAATAATTGCTATCTCTTCAAATATGAGCCTCAGTGCTTTATTCTATGTGTTCGCATAAGTGAAATTCTGTTCTAAACATGACATACCCTTGTAGTATAATCAGAAATCAGTCACAGAGCTTGTTATCTTTTCATAACAATAATTATCTTTGTGGTTTGTACAGTACAATATATTCATTGATACATCATATTGTTTGTTAGGCATAAACAAAACAACAAAATGTTATCATTCAAACAGTAAAAATTAAAAAATACTCGAAATAAAAAAGGTAAATACAACTAGATTAGCATTCAAAATAATGGTTTGAAATTTGTGTGAATTCTGATAAATAATACCTGGCAAAATTCAACAAATCTCTTTTTGTGATGACACTCCTTCCCCTCGTTCTGAGATAGTCCACTAAGTTTCCTTTGGCCATGAATTCTGTTACAATGTATATTTCCTGACCTAATACCACCCCTATAAGCTGGACAAGATTACGATGTTTCAAGGATCTGGAATATTCAAAATACCAATATTCTGATTCTACACATGATTTTAATATTTTGCAACTGAGTGGTTCACTGGAAGATTGT